TGTCATCGCTGTGCTTTTAATGCCTCAGTGATCACTGCTGCTCCCAACATGGCCCACAGCCAGAGCAGACTGAGCAGCATCAGAGGAGACGAGTTGTCTGTTTGATTTCATATCAGCCGATAAAACCCATCACTGCAACAACTTTTCTCCCAGATTTCTTTTTATGCTTTTTTTTATTTCACCTCCTCTCTCTGCAGTACAGAATGAGAAAGGAAGGAACCGTATCATCCTCTTTCTTTTTTTACAACTGGTACTGTGTATTTATTGCAGCTCCTTTCATTATCATTTCTGATGTTCCTCATGCATTGCCCAAGAGGAATTTTCTGTTGCCGTGCTTAGGTGCAGCTTCAGCAACTTTGCGTCGCTCCTGGTGTGGCTATAGGGGTTAAATAAGTATCATTCAGGGACGCTCTGACAGGTATGGCCATATTGAGGAACAAATCTCAGTCCCGTTGGGTTAAAAACTCGCTAACCACTGCACTAACCTGCCAAATTTACCTGTTGTATAGCCCCTTGTATTTCTATGTACAAAACCCACTCTGGGATGCTGAGTTGCACAGTTCTGAGGTCCTTGTAGTGAGGAAGCCTTTATGTGTGCCTCCTCTCAAGCAGGAGTCGCTTCTTCTGCTTTAATTACAGTAAGTACAGCAGACCCCCCAGGCTTGTTTAAACAGATCAACCAGCAGAAGAAAGAAGAGAATGCTAATTAGTCCCATAATGTTGCTGACCACGCTAGTTCCTTAGCACTGCTGAGTTTTATTGACATAAGAAGGACAATGGGAATCTGTATTCAAATGACTTGCTCTGCCCTCGTGTTTGGGTGCAGCTGCTGTGTGTAGGCCGCTATCTGCCACATATTTTCTATTGCATTGTTAGACAGAGTTAAATTAGACGTGAGGATATGAGGGAGTCGATATGTGTTTGCGTGTACCTGTTTTGTTTCATACCTCCAAGTGTGTCGAAGCCTGTGGGATTTTAGTATTAGCATGTTCTTTGCTGTTTTACATGTGTGAATATTGAAAAAAAAAAAGAAAAAAGGTGTATGTGCCAACCCATCTTTGCGTGTGTGCACGCAGGTGTCAACTTCCTCATCCTCAACTTCGGTGCAATGCAGAAAGCTTCTAATGCATTCCATGTTCCTGAGCCGAGAAACTGTATGTTTGCGAGTTTGTTTATGTGTGTGTGTGTGTGAGAGAGAAAGAGAGAGAAAGAGAGAGGGGAGAGAGAGTTAGATTCAGGATCAATACTATTGACCTGTTTACCTTGGTGCCGAGCACACGGGCCAGCTCTCCGGTTTACCACTTGAAACATTAAAAACCAGACTATTAGTAATACTTTGGTTCTCCTCTTTACTGATTGGACGACCTGCACTGGGGCCGTCCACCTAACGGACACGAAGAGAGGGGTGGCGGGGGTGAGGGTGGTAGTGTAAGAGGTGGAGGGGGGGGGGAAAGGGGTTAAAGAGAGAGAGAGAAAGAGACCCTGAATCTAATCCTCTTGACTTAAAGCCATCGGGTTTTGCCCATGTCTTGCCTCTAGACCTGACGTGGTCACTCAACCCTATCGAGCTGCAGGGCATTGTGGTCCGTCCGTCTCCTCCACACTCACCCCCTTTCCACCCCTCAGGCGCTTTTGTGCTTCCCCCCTCCCCACCTCCCTCCTTTTCTCATCCTCCTTCACACCACCAAAACAGAATTTCTTTAAATGCTTAATTTTTCCCCCCTTTGGCTTCCTTTTTGCAAGCGCCCTCTCACTTGTTTGTCCATCGATTTTTCATCCCTCTCCAGCCACTGCCCTCCCCCGCACCACCACCCATCTCCTCTCCTTACTCTCCCTCCCTTTCTCTCCCTCCCGCCTCTCTTCCCACCAGCATTTCGTCTGCATCTCCCCAGTCTGTTCCCCCGCTCTCCTCTGTTGTTGATGCAAACTGATTTATTTATTTATTTTAAGCTTGTTGCCCAGGTAATTTGTGGCAGGTAATGACTTTCAGTGAATCTACTTTGCGCTCTTTGAATTCTTTTTTTCGCGACCTTTGCATCATCCAGACTCATCTCCCCGCACACCCCCTTTGTCCCATTTGCTCTCCTATACTTTTTTTTTCCCTTTTTCCCTGTTTTACCATCTCACTGTCTCTCCTCCTCTCCCTCGTTTCTGCTCTCTTCCAGTGTATTTTTAATTCCCCCAGATATTGGTGGTGCATAGTTTGCCCGTGTGTGTGTGTGTGTGTGTGTGTGTGTGGCCCACCTGAGGAGGTGATTGACACCTGGCCCTCTGCTGTGAAGGCCTCTCACTCCTGTTCTCCTCTGTTTCCATCACTCCCCTCTTCCCTCCTTCCTCCTCTTCTCCAGCCATAATTTTTGTCTCCACTGGGGCATCGGCAGACCAGTACAAGTCTCTGGGAGTTGATGAGGGAAAGAAAGTGGAGAGGAGGGGTGAAGTAGTTGCTGAATATTGAGTAAAATAATTTTGTGATAAATTCCTCCTTCCTTTGCTCTTTTACAAACAATGATTTAATTAAATAAAATCATCATGTTAATTGAGGAAGAAAAACCGAAGGAGCCCTTTCTTTATGTGAAATAATCCCTGCATCTCCTTAACAGGGAAGGCAGGGTGATGTAGACTGCTCACACACACACTAATACTTATGTATTGTATTGTATTGTGATGCATTCTCTAGTCCTGCTTCTTAACCATCTCAACTAAATGCCAACATCAACTTTTACCCCAATCCTAACCTAATTTATAACCCTTAAACCAAGTATTAACCCTCAAACAGCCTTTTAAAGTTATGTGGTAGCACAAATCGACGCTTGAGTTCTTCCTCCATTCTGTCACCCCAGTTCAGGCTGACTGTCCTGGCAATAAAGGTGAAAATGCCAGAAAATAATATCTTGAAAAAAAGAGAGTGAGGACACCTCACTGTGTTAGGTCTAACAGTAAGACTGGTCCCCACAAAGACAGAAGTACACAAACACACACACGCACACATTTCCAACTCTACACTTCTCTATCTCTTTCTTTCTTTTTCTCTTTCCATCTCTCCCGTCTTCTCCTCCACCGTGGCATTGCCACATTAGTATTCATAGGGGGGAGTCGTTTTGGGGGGTGAGAGGTGGGGGTAAATAAGGCTTCTGGCTGTTCCCCCAGCCAGCTGGCATACTGTGGCTGGCTGTAGGGCTGGACCGGACACTTACAGAAACAAGGAGTAGGTGCTGGGAAGAAATAAGGACTAGAAGTGCATGGAAATGATCCAGAATGTTTGGCTTTTAAATAACCTCCATATGCTGTGTGGCTTACAGTGAAGTGTACTTGTGACTTACTGTACAGCACAGTGATAAAAAGTGCCACTGTTGATCCGTCCTGATTGCACACACAAGATTATCCTTTAAATGAATGCTTTTAGCAAATATCTGCAGTATAGTACTCACATTTTATTATTTGAAGGACAATAAAGCAGATAGATTCAAATAGCACATATGCAGTGTGGAAAAATATACTGCTCACTCTTGAATCTGATAATGAAAAAACAATACAATTTTAGCATACTGCATTTTCTTGCCACTTCTTATTAAAGTCGACATAAACTCTGGTTTCTTGCAGGGACAGTTTCTTTACTCAGACTCTTGGACAGGAAAGTATTTTAAATATTAAGCAGGTGTCTAAGAAGAAGCAGCATTAAACAACACAGTTCTGTATTGGTTAAAAAGTGCAGGGATCTAATGAATGAGGGTCTCTGTGTGGTTGAGTGTGATGGGCAGGTGTCACTGTGTGGAAACCAGCTGCCCTGTCCCTCCAGGAGGGGACAGTAGAGAGCAGGGAGACAACACTCAACTCCCCTCTATCCAGGAGGAGGAGAAGGAGGGTGATGAGGAGGAACATGAACAGAAAGACCCTCTTCAACAAACAATATCCACCAGGAATCAAGTGAAGAGTTAAGAGGAGAGCAGAGGAATAGAAGAAATAGAAAATGTCAAATAATGACATTGAAAAAATGAAATCTCATAAATTCTAAATAATATTTCCAAATTTCAAAAAGCTCTTGTACACCAAGTGTCATGCATAAACACACACACCATAGACACACTCTTGAACTTCCTTCTGGCATAATCCAGAGGTCAGGGCAGAATTCATCTCCCTTAATCATGCAGATGAACATGACCTTGGCCGGCCTTGGCACTCGGTCACATCAGCACTCTTATCTGGCCTCGCTTTGCATCTCTGATTGTGTTAAATCATGTTTCCCTATCATCAGCAGACACTGGATGGACAGCATCCTTCTCTAAGCACTTCCAGAAAAAAGGATAATTGCCAGGACCTTTAAAAGCCTTTCAGAAAGAAAACGGGGAAAATCAACATAATTCAGATGAAGGAGAATATCAGAGACGTAAAGTAAAGTATGCCAGGCAATATTGAGAGTGGAGGGGAAAAAAAGATGCAAGAGTTTTAAAACGGTGGGTCCTTGGCATTATTATGATGATGCGTTTGGCCATGTAGAGTGGGCCAGCCCATTGGAGAGCCCCTAAATGAAGAGGCTGACCTTTAACAAGCCATCTCTCTGTTCATTAGCCACGTGGTGCTTATCTAAAATAACACTGCTGAGGAGAATGTGAGGCCAGACGTAGTCAATGATGCACTACAGGTGGAACATGAACGATTTAGCTCAGGGTAACAGACTTTTATCCTCTTACCCCTCACAACCCCAAACTCCCTAAAGACCCATTAAAATAATATTTTCAAGCACTTATGTATAAAATGTCGAATACACTTTCAACTTTGCTGTTGGGCTCATGAAATACAAAATGTTAATGGAAGCAATGTAGAGTGCGTAGATCTATACAAACATACTATGGCACTCTGATGATGTGCAGTATATTTAGCAGAGTTTAAATTGAAATGACAAAGGTGTTTTCACTCTAAACTAGAATAGCTGATTCTGTGGATAAACCATGTATCATAAATATTCCAAAAAGTATGTCAATATATTTGTTTCTTATTTCCAGAGACAACTTGACCTGCCAGCCACACAACCATCAGGACGACTGTGTCTCCATAATAAGATGATGGACGTCCATTTACTTCAACAGGAATATTGAGGTAAGCTCAAGAGGCAACTCTTTCTGTTTAAGAGATTTCTCATTATTGCCTCTCAAAACACTGACTCTCTGCTTTTGGTGTTTTGGGGCAGAAAAATGAGACATGTGCCTGATAATATAACTACAGTAGGTCCCTTGTGCCAACTCTTAACAGTTTAAAGTAACAGTATGCAAATGACCAAGTTCAAAAGTATCAGCTATCTCCTTTTGAGCAAGTATCGGTCAAATTCAAGCACTGATATGAGGGGGGTTAATAGATGAATAAAGAAGAGGGAGGGGAGAGCAGACACAGAACATGGTCGATAGTGTCAAAAGCGGATGACAGATCTAAAAGAATGAATATTGATCTTTAGGGGGCCTTTACTCAGGCGACCTGTGGGAGGTCAGCCTGTGTAATTAGACCAGCGGAGGTCCAATGCTGGACTGAAGATGAGGCTGGCGCTGCAGGAGAAGGGTGGAGCTGGGATAGAATGTTTGGTGCAAGGTTGTATGGACACTGTATAGAAATATGTTGCTAGAATTTATTACAAATTCTATGTACGATAACTTTGCCTGAACCGTCATCTATGATTCTTTTTTCTTTTTTTTAACCATTTGATTTTGAGTTTTAGAATTCCTTAGTCCCCCGTGTACTTTTGTCAGGAACACTGCAGTGTTCATCCCTGGTAAGCTGTAAAAAAGTGTTTTTCTTTTTTAAATATTAAAATTTGTGCTGTGCCACTGGGTTTGTGTGGCAGGAGTTGAAGTGGTAAATGTGGGCTCAGTAACACATGGATAAGGTGCTGTTTATTGGAGCGGGCTGGCGGTGGATTAGAGTCCAAATGACCCCGGGGCTACAGATACTGCTCACACATGGTCCTGCTTTGTGATGGCAGTTAACTTTTGCTCTAAAAGTCTCACTCCTTGTCTATATGTCTATAATAGTGTAAATACACACTTCAGTCTAAGGATGTCTGTGTTGTGCCTAGAATCATGATTTGTATCACAAGGATGAGCATAGCTACGTGGATGCATTCTCAAAAATGCACAAAAAAGAGCACACACATAGATGAATGTATATTAAGACACAAACCCAGATGCAGACTTGCACTCACCCATAGACACACACGCACACACACGCACTGTCTCTTTATCTGTCTGGCTGTGGATAAATGCGGGCAGCGCAAACTGAGTGTGGCTGTAATCCGTGTATCATTGGCTTTATCCACTGCAGTAGCACTGCTGATTTAGTGCCCAACAGCCTTAGTAATGGGCCCCTGACACACAAACAAACACACACACACACACACACACACACACACACACACACACACACACACACACACACACACACATGCCATGTAGGACGTCCAACCCACGTGCTTTGTCCTCTCGAAGATGTTACCGCTCACTAGTTGACCCTTAGTTCAGGCACACATATGCACACACTGCCATGCACACATTTTTATGTAAAGACACAAGCATGGCTATAGAGTCATAATCAAGCAGTTGCATGAGCTTGCACACTCGCACCCACAAGCTCACAGACACACACATCAGCAGCAGTGTGGTTGTCACCGCCCAGGGACGTCTCATGGTAAGGTGAACTCAGAGTGAACCTGCTCCAAACATAAATAACATCTTTCTCTCATCTCTCCCAAGCCCCCTCAGCCCCTTTTCCTAGCCTCACTCTTTTTCTCTCTTTCTTTCTCTTAAGTCCCTCCATGTTCCTCCTTTCCAGTTTCCCCTCAATCTTTCATGAAAGCGGCAACACACAAACTATACGCATTAACACAAAGGGATGTTGCACATTCTGCGGCTCGCGATACCAGCACATAAACATAGTCAGGCAAACACCTGAGGTCACGCCTTGAAATACCCCCGCTAGCACGCGGCAACTGTTGGCCGACATTGCCACAGTCGCTTCAAAGTGATTTTCAAAAGACTTCAGATCATATTTGATTAGATGATGTCTTAGATCTTTTCTTGGGCCACAATTGCTTCCTCATTTCTTGCCTTGTTGTTCATACAACAGTATGTTCACTTACCTCGTGTAAAGCCAGGAACACAATCAGTGAACACAATGCAACATCTATCACTAATAACCTACAACCTCCCTGTGTTTATATTTATTTATATCAGAGAATTCGCCCCATTCCCCCCTCTTCGCTGCGGTCTGTATCTTCAGTCCCCTTGCTAGCACTTCCTAGTAACACACAAGGCGTTTATTGATAGGCCATTCCCATTAGTGCTGTTTACCTGTCAGGGCTCACTGCTCTAATGAGAGAGCTTTGGGAAGGAAAAATGAGTAGGGACGGTTAACCACTAATGGATGTTTACAGGCTCCCTGGGTACTATTGTGTTTTCCGCCACCTCTGCCGGTACCACTATCACTAGCCCCAGACCCGTTCACCGGCTAATTGGTACAGCACTGAAGAGCCAGTCTGGGCCTGTTTGATTATTATGGGATTAAGGTGGGTGGAGAGAGCATGGTATAGGAAGGAGCCAGATAAGAGGGGGGAGGACTGGCGTTTGAAAGTGGGGGTAGCAGTTGGGGTCGTTGGCCTAATCGATATCCCGAGATCAGGGGCTTTGGAGGGGCTGAGTGCAGACATTGGAGTGGGAGCGAGATGGGGGTTTAAGGGGGTATGTTCGAGGGTCATAACATCAGACCTACGTCAAAAGGTTCTCTTCGAGCACTATTAGTGCTGGTGGTGAAGGGTAATTGTGCCATTATAGCTGTAAGTGATACTAAATGGTGCAGGTATGGTAAAGGAACTACTACATATAGTTAGCTGGCAAGTGATCTAATGTAAATCTCCAATCAGGCATCTTAATAGCTGATGTATCCTTGAGAAAAGCACCCATAATTGTTTCAGTGTGACAGATGAGCTAAGAGTATCTCGGTCCGATATACCAACTTGGCTGAGTAATTCGATTTGTGCGCTGCACTGGAGCAGACAGATTTCATTCATTTTATTTTCAGCGTCTCTGTTCTCTTTTCGAGTTTTTTTTTGTTTTTTAGAAACGGTGTTGAGCCTGGGAGGACAGTTTGTTAATGACATCCGAGAACGCTGCTATAAAAGTGTGTACAGAGGAGACTGCACATTGGACCGAGTATATGCATTGTATATTGCTCTAGGATCGGATGGTCCCCAGAGAAGATCAATTTGTGCTTTTATTAGATTATTACAGAAATCCTTTAAGTGCCGGATTATCCGTGGAAGGTATTTATCTGTTTATTGAATGCCTGGGCTCATAAACTCTCTCCTCTTTTCCTCCTCAGTGTCCTCTTCCTGTTCTTCTGAGCATGCTAGGTTATTTGGTTGTTTTGTTGTTGTTTTTTATGCTTGTACAGAAGATCTAGTGTTTTATGAGGGGATGTTGGTTCCCTGATATAGTTCTTAATGTCAATTTGTAATCCACATTTTCTACTGCATGGGTACATTTATCTTGTCTATTGTTAAATAAAGGGGTTAAAGAGACGGGGGAGCAAAGATCCTAACCTTCTTTCTCTAATTCACCCGCTCGTTGTCTCAATTGCTTATCAGCTCTATTTCTTCACTAATTAAAACCACACATGAAAGAAGGGAATTCTAGACAGACAAGCACGCACACACACACACACACACACACACACACACACACACACACACACACACACACACACGGAAAGAGAGAGCGATAGAGATAGTTGGAGCTACAATTACCAGGCAGGCCTCTAGTGTCTCATTGGGTGTCTATTAAGAGGGGGGCCTGGCTCATTGTAATGATGGCAGAGTTTAATTACTTCCACCCGGCGCCTGTTGTAAAACATGCTGATAAATGAGCCAACAGGACGGCACATCATTATTTTTCTATAGTGCCAGGCAGCTTGTACATGATTATGAAAGTGGGAGGGAGGTTCCCATACCTGCATGGACCCGAGAGTGTATTTGCAGCACAGGGAAATATGGAAAAGGAAGGTCTGTGGAAATGTGTGAGACTTCTCTTCATTGTCGATGTGTGTGCACACGTGTGCAGGCATAGGGAGTTGAGGTATTTGATGAACCCGTAGATACCGAATCAAAACGCAATAATAAGCAGTTCCACCAAACCATGCTAGTGCAATGATATCTGGCCACCCATGAGATAGATATATATTCATAGGACACAATGGGCAAGGGTATTCACAGAGCACAGGGCTACTATTGAGCATAGTATTGTATGCATGAAAGCAGCTTGGATACAAGTACACAGTGTACATTGCATCTCACAAACAAATATACATATTCATAGTCATTAATTTTACACTGTTTTTAGAGAGGGGGGCATGTGTGGACACCCTCTGATTAATTGTGTTCTCCCTCCACCATTATTAAATCGCTGAGGCAAATATCTCCCACACAATAAATCCCTCTCGGTCCATGATTAATCAAAAGGCACACAAACCTAAGACCGGTGGCGGGCAGGTAGAGTTACCGTGCTAAATCATCTTTATTGCACGACGAGCAGGTTTGTGCATGTGCTCGAGGTCCAGTGCCACAGTGGAGTGGAGTGTATGCTTGGCTGCTGGTCAGGCACCTCAGGGTCACACACGCATGCATTTTGACCTCCGTGTCATTGATTTGCCAACCTGAGCAGGGCATAAAGGTGAACAAGATGGCAGCAGAATGGACTCCGGAGAGGCCCAGTGATTATAGGGACTTGGTGGCAAGTTTCAAACACGTTTATGGAGCCATTTTATTCACTCATGTGGGAAGAGGGGTGTGAAAAAATGTTTAACCTTGCCCACCTAAGCTTGTACCATCAATTGGCATCTACACCAATTAGTTGGCAGGTCATACCGTGATAATAGTGGGTTACATAATTAGAGTGGGTACCTCCCTTTCATTACTGCCACATGGAGACTTTGTGGGGGAGCAGTCACACAGAGCAGGGATGGAGAATGTACAGGAGCCCGCTTTCTGGAAACCTCAATTAACCTAAATGATTAGCTGTAGCCATGTAGCACACCTCACTAGCTTGACATTTCTCATCCAA